CTCATACGTAATCACTACCGAGCCAAAAATAATATATACGAACGGTTCGATGTGTTTGGGGTAAAATTGATGAAATCTCCCTAATGTATTTCAGTTGATTTGTGTAAAGAAGATGGTATGTAAATGGTTTAGATTCCGTTTGAATTCTTACTCTGCATGTTTTTTATATTAATTCGATAACTCTAGCAACACCAGACCAACTTTCGACACCCGCCACCTTCTTATCTACACAGTTTCGATTATTGGCTCTATTTCTGTCTCTCTCTCTCTCTCTCGCTCTCTCTCTCTCTCTCACACACACACACTACACAGACACTGTCACTCTGACCGATTGAAAATCTATCCCTCTTTCTCATTTGAATTTCGCGCCACACCAGTAGCACGAGAGATCGTCGGACCGTGAATCCGAAGTTTTACACGTTACGAGCGATCCACTGCGACATCACGAAACTCGCTGAAACCACCGAGACCAGATTCCAGTCGACTCTCCGCACCTCTCCACGTGTTCACTATCGGAGAGCCAACCGATAAGACGACCCCGCGCGCCCTTACGACAATCTTCCTCCTCCTAGGGATAGTTTGCCGTTCTCGCATGCCTGGCCTGTCGACCCCTCCCCCCGCCTCACGTGCTCCCAGAGGGTCCGCCGGAAACCGCCGTCGGATCAGGATGGTCGTTCGCACGATCTACTCGACGTAGCGCAACCTCAGCGCATCGACTGATACCGATAACGCTTTGAGACTCTGACTGTCAATTCCACGTTCAAAGTGGTTTATGCTCGAAACCCTGTGTCACCTTTTACGTGCATCTTCCTTTACGCTTCTGCCTGATTGATCGGCGCTTCGTTTGCCTGACTGTCTGTGCCTCTGCTCGCTCTGATGGATTTCTGTGCTCCTTGAACGCGCATGCCTGCACGTGGTAAACGTAACCCAACGCTGTACGCCCGAATTTTCGTCTCGAGATACGAGAGCGGCGTCCAGGGTCGGGTTAGGACGAAAGAACGTTCCATAGATCCTTCTAGAAGCTTCTAGAACACGTTCTTCCCTTGTGACGTCAGTCCGCGTTCGGACGTGCGTACGTAAATTCGCGGAGACTCGACGAGATTCGTACGTAAGCGAGGTGTTACGGGAAAAAAAAGAAAGAAAAAAAGAGAGAATCAAAATAAAAAAAAAAAAAGGCGTGGGTATGGATGCTCCGTGCAGCCGAAACAAAGTAGGGTAGTGCATGCCGTGTTCAACGTGTATGTAACGGGAGGGCACCGGGGGTTCAGTCTCTGATGATCCAGGTGGCAAAGAGAGCGAGCGTGCTGAAGAGACGAAAATCACGAAACCGGATGGACGTGCAGCAGTCCTCGGGATCGCAGGCGCTGTCTGCCGGTCAGCAGTCTATGAGCGTCGCGACGGTATCGGCGTCGGCGGCCACCGGCAACGTGACCGGAGGACCTAACGATCAGTGCCGCGAGAACGAGGGCGACGTCGTGTTCTACATGGAGGAGCCCAAGGCCGATACTCCGAATCGCGCGAGACGCGACAATCGGTGAGTTCAGGACGGGTTCCCAAGTTTTAGGGCACCGTGTGGATACAGGACCCTGATCCTTCGATTTATTTTCATTTCAGAGGGAGTCTCTTCACCTCGCAGACGAGTTCCGTGACGGAAGCCGCGAGCGACGAGATCGACATCGACATCGAGGAACCGCAGAGGGTCACCACGTGAGTAACCGACTGTAGACCTGGGTCCAAGTGTCTGAGCTCAGACCCGTAAGCTCCTCTTGCACCTTCTGTCCCGACAGGCTGACCGAGGCGCACAGAAACGCCATCAGGGCAATTCGCAAGATCAAGTACTTCGTAGCCAGGAGGAAGTTCCAACAGGCGAGGAAGCCGTACGACGTGCGTGACGTAATCGAGCAGTACAGCCAGGGTCATCTGAACATGATGGTCCGGATCAAGGTGGGTGGCTAAACGAGTCTAAGTAACCCAGGCAGACCGCGCAAGATCGACAACCACACCCCCTGTATCTCGTCCGCAGGAGTTGCAGAGAAGATTAGATCAGACCTTGGGTAAGCCAGGTAGCTACCTGGCAGGAATCGATAGAGCTGGCAACGTAAAGCCAATGACGATCGGCGCGCGACTTTATCGCGTCGAGCAGCAGGTAAACTGACCTCCATATTCATTTTTACCTCGATACCACCCCCCCCCCCCCCCGCCCCACTCATAAAGACCATCCACCCTCTTCCCTTCCAACTTCCGGTATCGCCCCATAGCCGCGACCCCTCGCGTGCCTAACGAACACTAACGCCCCGACCTCGCAGCTCTCCGTCATGGACAAGAAGCTGGACCAACTGGTCTACGTCCTGAACGCCGTGGCGCAGAAGCAGCAGATACCGCTGAGGAGCATCGAGGACGACGTGTAACAGAGAGCGACGGTGGTCGCGGTCGTCCTGCCACAGCTGACGATAACGAACCCAACGCCGGATCTGATCATCGTTCAGCGGGGCTCCCTGAAAACGTGGCTGAGCTCCGGGCGAAACGAGGTGCACCGGACCGGAAGTCCGGTATCCGCGATACGCACACGATTCCCACGTAGCGTGGGCTCGGGAGCACGAGAGAACAGGACATAGAGAGAGGGGAGAGAGAGAGAGAGAGAGAGAGAGAGAGAGAGAGAGAGTAATTTTTTAAAATGACGGTGAGGTGAAAGGAGAGGGAATGGTCCAAGAGGAGAGAAAAGAGAAAAAAAGAACCAAGAACGACGCCGTTACGAGTGTAGGGTCCAAAGTGCGCATAATTAACGAGCATAGCGTCGAAGCATGATGCACAGTTAACGATAGATAATAATTATAATAATAACGGCAACAATCGTAAAGCCTAATCGTTAAGTATACTTTTTAGCCTAATCACTGCTTTAAGCCTGTACGGCGCGTCGACGCGCCGTACGCTCTATGGTGCCTCTTCACTCGGTCTACTCCACTTTTGGTAGCCACCCCGTTATATCGCAGCTGCCGATATCGCGTGGCTGCCGGTAGTGTTCTTTTAGCATATCGATAACATTAAAGAGAAAACTAGCGAGATCGGATGACGCCGCTGGCTCCGTAGAGCGAAAACCGCGACGGTCGCGTGTTTATTTTTCCGCGGCCATTTTCGGGCACAACGGTCGCTATTACGACGTGGAACGATCGGTCGATCCAACCGGAAGTCCCGGTCTCGATTCCGTGCCTGGACACGTGGCCTTGAAACGATCGAGTTACCGGGTGTACGAGATATCGAGCGAAAGAGAGAAAAGGAATCTAAAGTGTGAACGCGAATAGGAAGGAGAGAGTGAGAGGGAACGGGGGCCAACGAGAGACAAACGTGAAACGAGAGTGACCGGTTATCGGTAACAGATCTCGCGGGTAGGTAATTGAGATTACCCGCGAAATTGGTAGATCAGCCGCTTTCGATCTGAAGTGAAACGATCGTCCGGAAGATCGACCGGATCGTCCCGTGCGAATTGAACGACGAGCGGCGGCGAAGTGTCTCGCGATTATGAGATTACGATACTCTTACGAGAAAAAAAAAAAAAAAGGAATCTCGAAAGCAAGTAGTGTTCGTGAATCGGCCGAAACAAAAAATTTAAAAAAAAAAAAAAAAAAACATTTTAACTCTATCGCCAATTTTTACTCTCTAACGCCCCTTTTTTTTTTTCTTCGACGCGCCTTCACCGCAGAACTCGGTTCAACTGTGCCGTTAGCCCAATCGGGCACTTCCATCTCGAAGATAAACCGAGCTTACGCGCTGACCCGCGTTCGAAGGAAAACGTGCCTAAATCGACTATATGCGCGCGCGTGCGCGCGCGCGCGAAAAAAAAAAAAATTGAAAACGCGTCAGACTCCTGTCACTTATCGGGGTTCATTCGGGGAGCAATATTTATGCGTATGAGCACATATATATATATATACATACACGTGTAGATACACACGTAAAATCGATGTAGAGAGGGTGTTCGGATCGATTGGTATAACATTCGTGACGTCATAACGACAACGTACAAACGACAACGAAGACGCGCGTGAATTTTTTTTTAATTACCTCGAATATTTCGACGCCGCAATCCAAATTTTTATCCCTCTCCTCGTAATTCTCGATTATTTTACTCGGGACTATCGACAACGTCTTCGCCTCGCGAAACCTAACCTAAAGGCACGAAACTACCGTTTTTGAAAAGTATGCATCGCTCGCTCGATCGGAGCACCCTGTATGTAGAGGCCCTGCACACTCTTCCTGTACATTGAGAGTAAACGTAGTTACGCACAGTAGACGTACCAAAAAGTAAGGGCTGCTGGTGAAGCTCTATAGCTAAGTGAGGAGGCAGGAGGGGGACAGAGGAGG